CCAACACATAGAGATCTAGCTTATACCTTCACAATAGTGCACGGTATCCCTAAACCATCATTTAGTGTATCATTCCTCAGAAATGGGTATTCACTTTGCTTTCAGGCTTACGGAGGTTCTGGGTTTAACAAGGCAAGACTGAGTTTATGTTTCCACAGCCTACAGGCTTTGAGTTGGTGCTCCGCCATCAGCAGGAATCAACGTGACAGCGATGAGCTAGTGTTCCTCTCTCGGTACATAAAGAAACTATGTGGAATGTACTCACAACACGTTGTGGCAGCTTCTTTCCCAAGACACAAGCTTCTGAAAAGCCAGCAGGCTCAGGGAGTCATCCTTCTGTGTCCAGGGCCTCGTGTCTGCTGTGTGTCTTGTGCAAATTGCTATTTAACATTTATTGAATTGAACTAAAAAGCAACTAGAGAGAAACCATCTGGAAGGATACCAGGCTATACTGTCTGCAGAGACAAATTCTGAGAATGGCAGCAAAGATAGACAGCTTTCATTTTTCTCTTTCAATACTTCCACATTCTTTTCTCTTCCTGTTTGAAATTACTGATAGTCCTTTCATAGACCCATTGATATATTAATACAACAGCTTTTAAATGTTGTTGTAGTTGTTAGGTGCCATCAAGTCGAGCACAACCCATAGCAACGCTACAAACAACATATCTGAACCCTGTCCTGTCCTGTGCCATCCTCACAATTTCTGACACATTAGAGCCCATTGCAGCAGTCACCCTGTCAATCCACCTGGTCAAACGTCTTCCTCTCCTTCATTGACCGTCCCTCCACCTTACTGAGTATCATGTCTCTCTCCTTGGAACAGACCCTTCCTAGCAACATGCCCAATATGTGAGGCAAAGAAGTCTCATTATCCTTGCCTCCAAAGATCATCTGGCTGCACCCTCTCCAAGACATATGTGCTTGCTATTTTGGCCATGGGATGTTCAGTTACTCTTCTCCAACACCACAGCTCAAAGCTATCAATTCTTTTCCTGTCATCCTTATTCATTGTCCAGCTCACAGATGCACAGCAAATGATTAGAAAGACCAAAGCCTGAATCAGATGCACCTTAGTCCTCAAACTGACATCATTATTCCTCAATAATTTGGAGAGGTCTCTAACTACAGACTCTCCCAGTGAAATATGTCTCCTTTTAAATAGAGTCCATAGACAAGTTAATATGCCATCTTCATATAGAAACACGCATTTTAATTACCTTGGTGTGTTGATGATATATTTTAACAGTTTAATAGTTTTGTTAGAATGCTAATTTTTTGGACTGAGTATTCAGATTCCTGGGTCTCTTCTCTGAATATTCTCATCAGCAAGGCTAAAGTGGAATTCTAGTATCATTGTGTTTAATAGGTGCTCCAGATAATTCTTATGATGATGCAATTGGGAATTTCATCTTATCTATAGTCTTCACAACCACAGGGATAACTTCCCATATATATGAGTTCTGGGGTTTGACCTTCAGAGTTTATAATGCATTTGATCTGGACATAAAGTCTAGGAAGCTGCACTTTTTAAAGCTACCTTGGCTACTGTCTCAAGATTTGGAATCTCTTTTATAAGTATGATCACTTCCTCAGGCTGGTAATTAAAAAATCAAGACACAATGGCTTCATTTTTGTCTCTAATGTCAAACATAAAGCATCAAGGCTCTGAGAAGAATGTTCCAAAAAGACCACAAGCTGCCAGTATCTTAGCTTGTCCTATCCCGGAATTAAAGAGATGTTTGTTTAATTGCTAGTTGTGTATAGTCAAGTCAGAACCAACGCATAGGTAGCTCCCCAGCAGATTTTCAGAGGCAGTTAATTACACAGAATACGATTTCCCACGGAGCGTCTTAAAGATTCAAACTGTGTGCTTTTGGGTCAGCAGTACAACTCCTTACCCCTGAGCCACCAGAGATCTCCTAATTGTTAGTTTATGGCTTGTTTAAATAGTTTATTGAATTTTAGTATTTGGTGTTTAAAACTTAGAAGAGATCTATGAAAGAATAAAATTTTTCTCTCCATTTTTCCCCCAATTGTCTTTTCCTGTTAGAATCAAAGGACTTCAGTTCTCTAAGTTCAGGAAAGGGAGTTCTGATGGTGTCAGCTGTGCAGCGCTGTGTGGCTAACACACAGGTGACCCCCATCTGGTGCTTTTCACCAGCAGTTCCTTGGGAGAAGGACATGAATCTCCTCTCCCGCGATTTACAGCCTCTGAAAACCTGCTGGAGGGTCAGCTGTCAGTGCCCACACAAGGACAATGAGATTTTTGAAAGAAATTTTCACAAATATTTCAATCCTTGCTAATAACTGACAAGCCTAGATAAATAAAAACAGAGGTCATGTTTTAAATCAATGAGATTTTTCTTTCCAAGGTCTGAGGCCCTTCCTAAGGGGCCTTGGTGATATCATTCAAATCCGTCTTGTGGCTCCATAGGGGAAAAATTTGAGAATCTACTTCCATGAAGATTATCGTCTAGAAAACATCATGAAGGAGTCTGTCCTGAGTCATTTCCTTTGTGCCCAAGTATGAAGCCTTCTCTCCCCTCAAGGACTGTGACGTCTACTACTTCACTCACAGGGCTAATTGGTTACACTGTTGTTAGGTTCCATTGAGTCGACTATGACTCACAGTGACCTTGTGAACAACAGATGGAAACCTTGCACTGTCCTGTGCCCTCCTCAGGGCCTGTGCTCAGGCCCGTCATTGCTGTCACTGTCAACCGATCCCATTGAAGGACAAGAGGACAGTGACGCCTAGTAGATACAGTCAAGAAATCAAAACACAAACCTGAGTGGAAACTATTCCCCATCATTCACTGACTGAGTTCAGGCAAGTTACATAATCTCACAAAACTGTGGTTCCTTCTCCTGTGAAGTAGAGGTGTAATAACAGCATCTACTTGGTTAGGTTATTGCAAAGATTTAAAAATACCAGAAAGTACCCAGCACATAGACACATGCAATAGTTGGTATTTATTATGATAAACTTTTTCTGCAAGATAGGCTAGACTAATTTTGACCATTAAACACTACAAAAGTGGAATTTGGAAAGGTAAATAAGACAGCTGAGTGTTAACATCTATATCTGATCCCAAAACACCCTCTTCAAAGCCAAATTCAAGAAGAACTAGCTAGAGTTCAGTCCTAACCCAAGACTCGAACCCCTGTGAATCAGGCCATCTTCATTCCACAGCCTCGGGTAAACTATCTGGTTGATTCCAAATCAAGTTGACACCCTGGACAGAGGAGAAATGCTCCATAGGATTTCTGAAGATATAAATCTTTACAGAAGCAAACTGCCTCACCTTTCTTCCCCATGGAGGACCTGGTGGTGGGTTAGAACTGTCAACCATTCCAGTTAACCACTGAGCACATTAACCACTGTACCACTAGGGTTCCTCTAGCTAAACCAGAGACAGCTTATAATAAATAGGAGGGAGCAGAGACTAAGTGGAATGGCTGGAATCACCTAATGAACTTGAAGCTACCTACAACTTACCTAGATTTGCAAGAATTATTTGGCTCCCACTTTGTAAAGTTCTGTACTGCAGCTTTGGAATAAAACTGAAAAAGAGAGTTGTGTTGTTTTGTTTTTTGTTTTTTGCCTCCAGACACTTTGACAACTTATGGGAGATATTGTTCACATATCCTTTGCATACTTAGGACAAGATGTGAGGATATAGTTCAGAGATACTTGTGGAGCTGGAGTCCCTTGGGCCCTTGGGTATTCTCAGACACACATCAAGAGCACACGTGCTCCATCCTCAAGGTGTGATACAGGTAGGTGTGACTAAGCAGCTAGTAAGTTATCACAGGTCCCCATGTCATCTCTGCAGCACAGAACCCACTAGGTAAATTCCATTATTTGACCCAGCTCTTCCCATCCCGTTTTCAGGTACAGAGCCAAGCAACCAAGTTGCCAGACCCATCATCAGCAAAGACACAGGATTCCTTAAAAAGGAATTTAAAATATTTTGGTTTTTAAACATGGAAAGAGCAGAGACTACTCTGTTCATGCCCTGGAATGAACCTGGAAAAGCAACACTTAATTATCCAGTATAGGCTTTCAAATTCCTAAGCACCACCACCACTTAAAATGCGGCAGGGCTAGAGCTTAGGGGTCTAAATAAATTGCAGCTCCTCTTCACAAGTTGCTTTCTGAGCATCAAAAGGGGTACACTTACTGCTTTGCAAATACACTTTCTAAAAATAATCAATATTTTCCTTAAATGCTTATGGCAAAACCATCAAGTCCCTTCATTTTAACGGCTCACAATCTGCACAATGACTTGATCTCTTTAATATTTCACTCACAGTAGCAGCCACTGAGCTCTGACTAACCCACTCTCCTCAGTATCACCCCTGGCTGGGTCCCGATGGCAACAAATGCATTCCCTTCACTCCTGCCTGAAAAGCAATTCTAATTTCCCCCCTTCCGCCCAATTCCACCTGCAGCAATTCTTTCACTCAAGAAAGAAAATGGGGAGCAGAGAGGGCGGGAGAATGAACTAAAGGAGTACGTTGGAGAATTTACTTTTTTAACGGGGTGGAAACACTGCAGCTTTAAATCTTGCTGCATCAAACCTTGGATTTCTTCCATAACCAAGCTGCAAAATGGTAACAAGAAAAAGGAGGAAAATAAAATATCGCTTCCTCCTCCTTCCTCCAGGCCCCTCCACGGGCGGGTTCCCGCAGGACACGCTGTGGCCAGCCCATCCCCCGTCGCCCTCCCAGCCCAGTCCTGCAGCCTGAACAGGTGAGCCAGGCACCAACCTGGGCCCGCCAGGCTTTGCCCACATCCGGGGATCAAGGTCAAGGGCGAGGGCTTCCCTCTGGGCGGCCCTAGTACAGGGGCCTGCAGTCAAAGTTTCCGGGCCTGGGAAGTGCGGCCAGGCATGGCAGCCCCCCCCCCCCGCCCTCCTGCACCTGCCCCCTGGGCCTGGAGGAGCCAGCGCCGCGCACGGTGCCCACCTGGTGCCCACTTACCTCTCGCGGACATGGTTCAGGCAGGAAGGGTTTGGGTTTGGGGGAGAACCCGGCGGGGCAGCAGGTCGCCCCGAAATGCATGCAGCGCACACGAGCACCCGCCCTCCGGCCGCGGCCTCCGGCTAGTGCGTGGACACCTAGTGCGGCCTCAGGCTAGTGCGCACCCGCTGGACACCTGGCTGCCCGCTCTGTTCACTCTGCGCCCTGCCCAGCGGGGACACAGCGCCGCGAGAGCTGCAGGAATCCGAGGGCGCGGCCTCCGCCTGGCGCGCTGGGACACCGCCCGCAGGACACCTGGCTGCCGGCTCGCTGGGGGACTGAGCAGCCCGGGAGCTGCAGGAATCCGAGGGCGCGGCCGCTCTGACAGCTTGCTCCCCGCTGGGCGGGGCCGCTCCCCCACCCACCGGCCGCTGGCCAGCGCCCACCCGCCCGGCCCACTGGGTCCAGGGCCTCGGGGATGCGCTCGGTGGCGCCACCAGGCGGGGCTTTTGTCCCTGGCGAGGAGGGGAGGGTGGCGAGGGGCTGCGTCCTCCCCTCCCCCGGCCCTGGTCGAAATGAAAATAACAGTAGTAATCGTTATAGTAGTAATAATAATGTTGTTATTATTAAGGGCCTTCCCTCTAGCTGCCAGCTTTGATTCCAGAGAAAGAAAAGAAGGAAGGAGGGAGAAACGATATGATATGCTCTTTGGAGTAACCCAGCCAGCGCAAGGACCTCCGACCCCGCACAATATCTGAAGTCTGAAAACATGTGATTTATTGGACAAGCTCTGAGCTGTCAGGGATGCTTGGCTGGAGAGTTGGAAGAAACAAATCCTCTCCAACATATCAGAGCAAAACCAAGAACCCATATTTCTCATCAATTTAGTAGCCAGAGTCTGAAGCTAGGAAGTAACAAGACACGCCACCCCACCACACGTGCTGCCCTGGGAAGAGGTGGAATTCTCATCATTGAAAAGAACAGCACCGGATCTAAGTCTAGTGGCTGATTTCCAAGTTTCCGGGACCCGCATTCTCTTTCCTTCTCAGGTCTCCATACCGCCTCACAGCAGATGTATCTAATAATCTTCTAATAATCCTGGCTCTGATAGAGGCTGTGGAAGAGGTTTGACAAGGCAGAAATTCAAAGAATAGGTGAGCACATCTTCTCTAAGAAAAATAAATGTGTGTGTAACTAACTGAGCATCGGTGAGGAAAGCAGAAAGAAATAAAGCTGGAAAGGAGATGAGGGAGACAGAGTAAGTTAGAAGCATGGGAATTGTCAACTTCAACTTGTAATTACAAAAACGTAAGCCATAACTTGGCCCTCTTAAAAATATATTCATTCAATAATGTATACTGCACTGAAACAGAGGAGGGAGAAAACTGTTTAAAAGAGATATGTGACTAGGTATTTCTGTCATGACAGGAGTCTAGAGCGATGGCCACATGGTGGAGGGGACGTGGGGGAGGGTTTGTAAAACAATGAAAGAATCTTTTCTTTTACTTTTCCATAATTTTTTAATAAAAAGAAAAAAACCAACAAAAAATAATATATTCAGGGCAGAAACCTGCCTGTTCTTTGTCAGAATCCTTGTACTTCTATCTCAAAACAATTCTTTCTAATTATTTTCTGTCCACTGTTCATCTTTCTTGCCAAAAGGACAGCTATGTTCATCCCTACTTTCAGCATCTTCCTCTTCCAATTTCTTTTCTTTATGATAATTTCTAAAACACTGAAACATACATAAACATGTCTATACTATAAAGCCTTCAAATGGAGTTACATTTATTCCCCCAAATGGTGTCTGACATTTCAAAGTATCTTCATCCAAGCCATTAAGTCAGTCAACAAAACTTCCACTGACCACATATTACCAACCAGTGTACATGGCAGATACTAGAGTTACAAGGGGCCACAAAACAGACATGGTCCATGTTCACATGGAGTTTAGGATCTTTGGTGATTTTAAGGTCTTCCATAATGTGTATTAGAGAGTTGGACAATGACTAGAAAGGACAGAAGGAGAAATGATGCCTTTGAGTTGTGGTGCTAGAGAAGAGTATTGAATGTACCATGGACTGCCAAGAAAACAAACAGATTCATCCTGGAGAGGGTTAAACCAGGCTACTCCTGAGGCAAGGATTCTGGGGCTTTGTCTGACATACTTTGGACATCTTGTAAGGAGGGACAGGTCCTTGGAGAGGGACATCATGCTTGGGAGGGTGGAGGGACAGCGCAGGAGGGGAAGGCCCTCTATGAGGTGGATTGATTCAGTGACTGGGATAATTGGGATGGGAGTGTCAGAGGCAGTGCGATCGGCACAGGACAGAGCAGAGTTTAGGGCTGTTGTACATAGGGTCGCTATGAGTTGCAAGCTGCTCGACAGCACATAACAACAACATACTATGTATCTTGATTATCTAAACCAAAACCCAAACTCATTGCCATCAAATCAATTCTAACTCCTGGTGACCCTAAAGGCTTGTGCCTCAAGGGGTTCCCAAGGCCAAAAATCTTTACGAAGCATATTGCTACATCTTTCTTTGCAAAGTGGGCAGTAGATTTGAACTGGGACCTTTGGTTCACAGTTCACTACTAAATCACTCAGCCCCCAGGGCTCCTCTAAAGTTATCAAGTCTTGCTCCATGTAACAAAAATACCACAACTGGGTGGCTTTACACAATGTCTTTTCCTGCAACTTAAAATTCTGAAGTGTGACTTGAGACCCCCAGCTCTAGGGGATGGCATGCTCTGTCTGTTGGGTCTGTAGAAAGGTCCCTCTCTCTTCACTTCTGCTTTCGGGTTCTCTGAAGATCTCACGTGTCTTGGCATCTATCTTCCCTCGTCTTTCTTCTGCTCACTTGTTTCATCTTATAGCTAAAAAAAAATGTTTGACAAAAGATATACTTACACTAATCCTGTCTCATTGACATAATGAAGACAACTTATTCCCAAAATAGGTTCTAACCGCAGGAATGTAGATTGGGACTAACCACATGTGTTTTTGGAAGGACACGGTTCAGTTCATAATACTCTCCAGTTCCTTCTCTAAGTGAACACTGTGCTCTGGACAATGACTCTCTCCTCTGTTTCTCAGTGTTACCGTGTGTTTGCAGCCTCTCTGCCCTTGCTCATTCTCAGTCCTCTTCCCAACTCCCCTCCTCCTCACCCAAATTAACTCATAGACCGCCTCCTCCTGAAATCTTCTCCAGTTACTTCAGCCCACATTGATCTCCTCTTTCCCTTAACTTCAGTAGCGTTTATTTTCAGAACCACCTATTTTTACTTCAGACACTGCCTTGTGTTGCTATTTAGTGGTTCTGTGTATATGTGTGTCTGTTTTTTATCTCCCCAGCTGGTGGCAAGAGAACTTGGAGATCCTCTGAGTACTGTTGAACTGATTCTGGAAGAGGATTACAAAGCCTGTACTACACCAGACACCATGCTTGTAAACAAGAGTGGTCCCAGAAGGGCTTGCCTTCTTTTCTCCTCGTCAGTAAGATCCAGTCCTTGTCTCAAATTCCACAATCATTCTGGCCCCTAATAACTTCATGAAAGAACTGCAGGTACCATGGTATTAATGAACAGATCTTCCTTTTGTCTTCAAGAAACATATGACTGACTGCACAGAAGCAGGGAGTCATTGGTAGTATGCACTGCTAAATAGAACTGTAAGCCTGAAATTGGGCACTGTAGTAGTATTCCATTATTGTGGTGTGCTGTTGAGTTGAAACCAGCCCATAGCTGACCCTCCCTCCAGGGGCTTTTCCGAGGCAGTAAATCACGTTAAGAGGAGATTGCCCACCTTTCTCCTGTGTAATCGTTTCCTAAGGCTGCCGTAACAGAAATGCCACAAGTGAGAAGCTCTAAAGAACCCAAATCTATTTTCTCATCATTCTAGATGCTAAAAGTCTCAGTCGCTTCAGTCTGTTCCTTGCTAGTGGACCTGAGTGTTCCTGGGTTTCCTGGTGACCTTTACATGCCATCTGTCATCCCTGAGTGTGCACAGCTCTGTGTCAATCTGTCCTTTTTATACCTCAAAAGTGACTCAATTGAGAACTCGCTTTACATGAGTCTAATCTAATTAAGATTACAAAGAAGATCAGATTTCCAAATAGAAGTACTTCTACAACAGAGCGAATATCCAGCACCTGATTGGCAGGTTGGACAATTATAAGATAATCTTTGGCTAAAGAACATTTCCCCATGGATTTATATTTAGTCCTTTATAGATTAATTATCCATGCAGATCTTTCATGTATGTACATGTACACAGATATACGTATGCATGTGTAAAGATATCTAAAGATCTATATGTGTGTATGAAAAGACATAGCTATCTATGTTGGTCATTGAGGGGTGCTGATTCATTGTTGCTGTTAAGTGCCTTCAAATCAAGTATGACCCCTGGAGATCCATGTGGTAACAGATCTAAAGCTTGTGCCATCCTCACCATCTGTGACACAGTCCTTGTTGTTGTAGTTGTTTACCATCTAGTCAGAATTGACGCATAGATGACCTTCCAGCAGTTTACATGGAAGGCGAGTGTCCATCTTCCTCCCATGGAGCAACTGGTGGATTTGAACTGCATACCTTTGGAATGGCACCACTATTCCTTACCACAACACAGCCAATGGGCCCATAGCAACTCATAACACAGAGTCGAGAAAACCCTGAAAGTTTCCTTAGATAAAATCTTCACAAGAAAGTGTCATTGTGGCATAACACATAATATGTTGGGTTGTTAATGGAACAGTTAGCAGTTCAAATCCACTAGTCACACCATACATAAGATCAAATAATCTATTCTTACTTAGACAGTCTTGGAGACTCAGGGAGGATCTCCATGGGTCAGATTCAACCTGATGGTGCTAGGTTTGGGGATTAATCTTCACAGGTACACACCAACATGTCTTTCCTCTTGAAGAGTCGCTGGTGAGTCCAAACCCCTGCCCTGTCCTTTACAAGCATGCATTTAACAATGGTTGAACCACCAGGGTTCCTTTTACACACTCATCACACCATATGCATGTTTGTGCAATGATATTATTTGGTTTTATTTTGGGTACTTTGAAATTCATATTTAAGGTCAAGTACATCTGCTCATCTCTAGCTATAATTTTAGAGTTAATCCTCCCAACCACACAGTAATCAAATTCGTAGTCTGACTCTCCTGACAATCTTTCCTCTACTGGAACTCAGAACATTTTGGAAATTCTTGTACAGACAAACCTTAAAGTAGAAGAAATTTGAGGAGAAATATGAAATGCCACTTTTTAAAATCAAGAAAAACGTAGCCTATTGGTTGAAACAACAAAGATAAGCTTTTGTACTGCAAAGAAAGAAATTGCAGTTCCTATTAAAAAAAAAAAAAAAGAGGACAAGTTACTAGTGGTAACTTGCCAAAAAAGCCCTCTCAACTCTTAATGGAAGGAAAGTCCACGTACCTTATTATTGTTCTCTATTCCTTACAGACGTTTGAAATGATTGAATATGG